TGGCGTCCTCTGTCTGCTCGGCGACGCCCGCGCGTGACATCTCAGCCGTCGCTCTGCAGCAGACGCCGTCCGGGAAGAAAAGACGCACGGCCGTCGTCGCTGACGCGTAGCTGTCGGGAGCTGTAGCGACGGCGAGCGAGAAAGAGAGACAGAGACAGACGGTGAAGTACAGCGAGAAGGTTGCCTATGCTGCGTGGTAACTGTGGTGTGCAATCAGTAATGTGCGCGCATGCGCGTGCCATGCAGTGTAGTTTCACGCCGGTGCGCGCTACGTCTGCGTTGTACCATGTGTGCACGTCGGCGTGACTGCGTCATGCGTACGTGCTAGTTATGCGATGGTGTTGTCATTGTTGCTGCTTGTTGTTGTCGGTGTTGTTATTGTTGCTGTTCGTTGCTATTGGTGTTGTTTGTTGTTGTTGGTGTTGTTTTTAGTATTGTATGTGTATGTGCGTGCGTATATGTGCATGTCTGCCTGTTTGCATGAGTGTGTGTGTGTGTGTGCGTGTGGGTGCGAGTATGCATACCTGAGTGCGTGTGCACGCACGTGCATGCAAGTGTGCGTTTGCACGTGTGTGCGCGTGTGCATCTGTGCAAGTGTGTGCATGTGTGCAAGTGTGTGCGTGCGTACGCGTGTACGTGTGTGAGTGCGAGCGTGTGCGCATTCATGTGGGTTTGCACACTCACCATAGAAGGCATTGGCGACGCTGTCCTTGCCGTACAGGGAGCGCCAGAAGCAGGGGCTATAGGTGCGTGCTCGCGCCGGGTCCGTCGGCCCCACGAGGTCGAGCATCTTCTTTACGGCATTGACGCGCTGCACTGCAAGCGCGAGACAAGGCCCCGAAGCCAGATGCTGCAGATGCTGCTCCTGTAACCATGGATACAATGATCGTTAACGAGCAACGCATCGTTAACTACAATGGCTGCAGCTCCTGTAACCGCAGACACAGTGCTCATTAACGAGCAATGCATCGTTAACTACAGTGGCGGCAGCTTCTGTAACCGCGGACACAGTGCTCATTAACGAGCAATGCATCGTTAACTACAGTGGCTGCAGCTTCTGTAACCGCGGACACAGCGCTCATTAACGAGCAATGCATCGTTAACTACAGTGGCTGCAGCTCCTGTAACCGCGGGCACAGCGCTCGTTAACGAGCAGCATCGCTGTACTCACGTGTGAGACGTCACGCGGTGATATCGCGTCGGCGAGTGCCGGCGGCAGCATCTCCAGCCGCAGCGCGACGACGGTGAAGCCACTGAGGCTGAGCTTGCGCAGCAGTCTGCCCGCGTGTCTCTCAGCGACGCCTGGCTTCAGCACGAGCAGAGACGTCGCGGCGACGGGCGGCACGAGCATCGACGCCAGCACGTGCTCCTCTCCCGCTGCCGACACCGCGTCGCCGCACGGCTCCCGCCCGCTGCTCGGCGGCGCCACCTGTAGGAACGGAAGATTACAGTGTTCTCTAATAAATCTCATAATAACAGATACTTACAGATAATTATTATAGGTAATTACAGATAATTATTATAGGTAACTATCAGATATTATTATAGTGTAGTTACAGAATAATTATTATTCGGTATTACAGATAATTATTATAGGTATTACAGCATAAGTTAATTATAGTATATTAGCAAATTATTATTATAGGTAATACAAATAATTATTATAGGTAATATACGATAATTATTATAGGTAATTACAGAATAATTATTATAGGTTAATTAACAAATAATTATTATAAGGTAATTACAAATAATTATTATAGTAAAATTACAGATAATTATTATAGGTAGATGTAGCAAATAAAGTTATTATAGGTAAATTACCAAGGATAATTATTATAGGTAATTAGCAGATAATTATTATAGGTGAAGTTACAAATAATATATTATATGGTAATTACAAATAATTAATTATATTTGTAATTACAGATAATTATTATAGGTAATTAGCAAGATAATTAAACAGATTAATTATTAGTAGGTAATTAGCAGAGTCGTACTCGTGAAGGATATTTGGCCGGTGTGTCGCGATGCCATCCCTCATGTGTCTAAGGAGTAGCTGACGTTCTCGCTAGTGTCAGGAGTTCTCGGGCCAGGAGGCGGGCTGGGGTTATTAGAGGACTGTCCGCACAATTTAAAATACCCACAATGCAACGCGCGCCGCGGCCATAGACGCGTTCCAGTTTTAAACCAGTTCAAGGCATGGTACAAGACATTGAGCAACGGCACGCTTCTGCATTTTATTCGCCTATTAAGAAATCACATCAACACCGCTTCAACGCCGCTCTCCTGCGGTGTTGTCAACTGGCAGCAGATCGGTATCAGAGAGAGCCACACCAGGCTTTTTTAGGCTGCCTAGCGTGATCACAACACAGAGGTAAAAGTGACGAGAGACGCCAGGCGGTACGCACAGACGCTTGAGCAATTTTCAATAAAAAAGCGATGGCGAATATAAAATCACGGAAATGTATTTTAGCTAGCCAATGTCTTAAAGTTCTCTACTGCTCTTTCGCCTAGGTATTGCCGATTAATTTACCCTGTAAATGCCGGTCAAAATGCTCCTCTGCAACACAACAGGTAGCACCGCCGCAACTGCGCGACGGGCCGGCTACAACATTACCACTTATATACATATATCGCGCGCACCCAGTAGGCAGCTGTTGTTGAAGTGGGGGTGGTGATTAACTCTACACGTGCAGCATACTCTACATTAAAATATCACGAGGCAAGCATGTGAACAGAATTCGCCAAGCCCGGCTTTACAATGTACAGTGTGCTGACATGATGCCTGTCCCATATTCCTCTGCAATCGTGACGCCATGCACGGATAGCGAGATGAGTATAATCAGAGACATTCTCCGGAGTGCATAAAATGTGCTCGGATTAAACGTAGATGGACTGCTCAGCTGTTTCACATGAAATAGATGTGACTGATACACGCAGCTAACGACACCGCAGAACAGTGCGATCGTAGGCATCCAGGGCTTTTGTGGTCATGAAAGTCTTGAGAGTATAAAAATGTCTCGGCTAGAATGCTAGGTAGTCAATTCAAACGAGATCCAATAAGTTACGTGATGGGCACAAGTTTGGTGCCTCGCTCCATCTCGTAACGAGTGTCGCGAATTCCCAATCACGCAATTTTTCGAGATAGCGCGTGCTTTGGCTAGCGTGTCTAGTGAATCAAAGTACTGTCCATACTACGTACACTTCAGACAGTTGTAATATTCAATCATACACCAGTTGCATAGAAAAGCTGCGTTTTTTATAGCTAGTATGGCAGTAAATATCGTGAAATTTCTGAAGCACGATCGCGTTGATGTAAAACAAACATCAAGTCCATGAAACATATGTGCCTCGTGAAATAAATCGCAGACGGCTAAAAACCCTGCAAGCGGCCGCTGCAAAAGCCGGACGCTGTGTAAACTCATTGAAACTCTAGGCGCGAGCACCCCAACTCAACGCTGATAAATGCGCTTTTACCTGCCTGCACCACTGTGCATATAGGTAACACGTGTTCGGCATTCTGGAAACGGCAATAATGGCCGGCGGCCACGAGATGTAGGTAAATTAATTGCTATTTTTAGTGCAAGTCGCGGAACCCTCTATATGCCGTGCCAACGTTGCTACATTGGCGCCATCTGCAGGGATGGAATGTTACGATGTCGTCTCTGTCACGGAGGCAGCGTACCTTGCTACTGACCGCGTGTGGTGTGACAGGCGTAACCTTGCTACTGACCGCGTGCTGGTTGTGAGGAGGCAAGGTCCCTGGCTACAGTGACCGTGTGCTGGTATGTAGGAGGCAGCGTAAGCCTTGCTACTGACCGTGTGCGGTGTGAGGGAGGCAGCGTACCTTGCTACTGACCGCGTGCTGGTATGCACCAGCGTACCTTTGCTATCTGACCGCGTTCTGGTGTGACAGCGTACCATTGCCTACTGACCCGCTGCGGCCGGTGGTGAGGGAGGCAGCGTACCATGCTACGACGGCAGTGTGCCGGTGTGAGGGAGCAGCGTACCTTGCTACTCGACCGGCGTGCTGGCTGTGAGGGAGGGCAGCGTACCTTGCTATTTTTTCTGACCGCGTGCGCGGTGTGAGGGAGCAGCGTACAACCTTGCTACTGACCGCGTGCTGGTGTGAGGGAGGCAGCGTACCTTGCTACTGACCGCGTGCTGGTGTGAGGGAGGCAGCGTACCTTGCTACTGACCGTGTGCCGGTGTGACAGCGTACCTTGCTACTGACCGCGTGCTGGTGTGAGGGAGGCAGCAGCTTCAGCAGGTCGTTGGCACTGCTGTCTGGGAACAGCTCGTTGTCGTAGAAGAAGCCGCGCAGCTGCCGGTAGGCGACGGCCGGTGACGGCGACACGTAGTAGACGTCGTCGGTCGCGAGGCTGCGCAGCAGGCAGGTGTACGCGTCCAAGTCCTCGCGACACGCGGCAGCGACCGCCGGCCCCTCAACACACACACACACGTCGACACCAACATACACACACACATTACACACTCATACACACCATACACGTCAGCGGTGGTGTCGGGGGGGGCAGCAGGTAGGTGTACCCATCCAACCTCGCACGGCGGCACGACCGCCTGGCCCTCAACACAACACACATACACACACCAGCATACAGTCAACAGCACAGTACACACACACACACATACACGTCAGCGGTGGTGGTCGGGGGGGGGGGCAGCAGGCAGTGTACGCGTCCAAGCTCGCATGCTAGCATGACCGCCGGCCGCTGCAACACACACACACACACACACAATACATGTACACACACACATGTACACACACACAACACAACACGTCAGCGGTGGTGGTCGGGGGGGGGGGCAGCAGGTAGGTGTACGCATCCAAGCCTCGCACGGCGAGCGCACGACCGCTGGCCCTGCAACCACCACACACACACCACATACATGTACACACCACAGTGTACACACACACCACTTACACGTCACGGTGGTGGTCGGGGGGGGGGCAAAGCAGGCGGTTGTACGCGTCCAAGCCTCGCATGGCTAGCATGACCGCCGGCCCTGCAACACACACACACACACACATACATGTACACACACACATGTACACACACACACACATACACGTCAGCGGTGGTGGTCGGGGGGGGGGGGCAGCAGGCAGGTGTACGCGTCCAAAGCCTCGCACGGCGAGCAACGACCGCCGCCTGCAAACACACACACCACACACACATACATGTAACACAACACATGTACACACACACACACATACACTGTCAGCGTGTGGTCGGGGGGGGGGCAGCAGGCAGGTGTACGCGTCCAAGCCTCGCACGGCGAGCACGACCGCCGGCCCTGCAACACACACACACACACATACTTGTACACACACACATGTACACACACACACAACATACACGTCAGCGGTGGTGGTCGGGGGGGGGGCAGCAGGCAGGTGTACGCGTCCAAGCCTTGCACGGCAAGCATGACCACCGGCCCTGCAAACACACACACACACACACACACACACACATACATGCATGTACACACACACACACATACATACATGTACACACACACACACATACATACACGCAGCGTGTGTGAGGAGGGATGAGTGGGGAGGGGGGGGGGTTACACACAGGTCAGTGATGGGAGGGGGGAAGCATGGCAGACATACGAGTCATGTCGAGCACCAGTAATACTAAAACGCCTATCCAGTGTGTTCCCGGTGATAATAAACAGCCATAAACAAATTTCCTGTAGCCAACGACTAAACGACTATATCCCGATTGATGGACTGAATCACGATTAATCGACTCCGCACTCTCTGCGCGGCGACTCACCGGCCTGCGTGAGATGGGTGATGCTCGCCCGCCAGGTGGCGTCACCGGGCTCGGCTCGCGTGATGGCGGCCGCCTGCTGGTGGCTGAGCGAGGGCAGCCATTTCAAGCCGATCAGCTCAAAGCCGTGTGTTCCTGACGTCAGTGAGGCTGTAGGGAGAGAACCATCTACGCTGAACCGACACGAGTGAACATGGGGGCCGAGCTGGTGTATAATACTGTAATAATAATAACAATCTATAATAAAATATAAATAATAATGTAAACAACTGATGCAATCCTAACCCATAGTACTCTGGTTACGTCCCGAGTTTTTGTTTGCACCAAGGGAGAGATTTGGACCCTTTTAGCGTTACTAGATGGCACTACCTAACCTAGATGAGCATTTCAGCCCCACCTGTGATGCACTCTACTGTAAGTGCGCGTACATGCACCTGAGACCGCTGTCCACAGGCACTTGAAGCATATCAACTGTAAGCGCACGGCGCCGCCATTGCGCGTACACTAATACATATAAGAGGGTATACACTCAATATTAAGAGGGTATACACTCAATATATATGTATTAGTGTACGCGCAATGGCGGCGCCGTGCGCTTACAGTTGATATGCTTCAAGTGCCTGTGCCGCTGTCGCCTGGGTAAGCGCATTGTTACCTGATACTGATATACGAGCAGGCGAACACAAAACGCACGCACGACTGACGCTGAAATGGTCGTTGTCGTATAGGGTACTACATATATGTACCCGAGGTAACTATCTGATATGGTTAGGGTTAGGGTTAGGGAGTAGGCGTAGGCGGCTCCCTATACTAGCATTATATTACATTTATGTATACATATATGTACCTCGGGTACATATATGTACTACCCTATACGACAACGACCCCTTCAGCACGACTGACTGGTGAGTTTTGACTAGGTCACCCTCATTTAGCTCTGATTAGTTACTAGGTGTCATTTGCGCGGGGTCAGCAAACACGCATCAGAGTCGTGTGATTGTTTAGCATGTTGACATAGCGAGGGACCCTTCCTACCATACCCGGGGTCACACGTACTGCTATTACACAGCGTGTGTACGTTTCAGCTTAGGAATTCGCTATTGTGTGGCCCGGAACCGATTCGCGAGGGGAATTTTCTGTCACAACTCGGGCACGCGACCAGGGCTAGACTAGTCAAGGCCACGCGAACTTTGCTTGTAATGCTGTATGTGTGTGTGTGTGTGTGGGTGTGTTGTGACTAAAACTGTAATAGCTGCACGAGATAAAGGTCAATCTATGTTCTAGCATGCACGTTATAGTAATCTGTATAGCTAATATGATATAGCACGCCACCCGTTTAGAGTACTGTCACGTCAACGGTGAATTTAGGTAAAGGCCTGCGTATTATCATGAACATAGCTATACAAACCTATACACACTCGCACATGCACGCACGCACACACACACATTAAGTATCTAAACCTATAACATATAACGTATAGATATGATGAAGTTACTTCTCAACCAACATTTCTGCACTGATCTAAACTTTAAGATGTGAGTTCCATTTGCAAGTATGTTTGTCTACTTTTGTAGCGCCTCTACTCATCTACTGTGACATCATCTTACAAAACCGAGTGAAAAGTCCCAACACTACACCGTGGAATTTCTCACAAGAAGGCAGGTAAAATCCCACCTCATATAACAACACTGGTGAATTATTCGAAAACCAGGAGCAAAAGTCCTACGTGAAACCAAAGAATTCTTCACAAGAAGGCAGGCAAACACATCACATGAAATCGACATCACGCGAAAAACCAGGCGGACACACTGAAGAGGCACACATTCCCTGCATCCCCGGCTGACATAAAACCGTGGAATTCATCACGGAAAGGCAGGTAAAGCCACTCACAGCACACATCATCGGCACCACAACCTTGTCACTACATCCTGTGTATGACACAGCCTGTATAAGAACCGACCAGTATAAGAACATAACGTAACTCAAAAACCCGGGCGGACAATCCCCAACCCCAAGAAGACAACCCTCGAAAACAGGGTCCCTCGGCGACCGAGCGCATCGAAGCCTCGCCGCGAAAACAAGATGGCCGACGATGGCGACGTGCTGCACACGGGCGGCTGCCACTGCGGCGCCGTGCGCTTCGAGGTGTGGGCGCCGCCGACGCTGCGCGCGATACGCTGCAACTGCAGCGTCTGCACGAAGAAGCAAAACTGGCACTTTGTCGTCGCCGCGCGCAAGTTCCGTCTGCTCGCGGGCGAGGCGTCGTTGCACGAGTACAGGTTCGGCACGCGAGCGGCGCGCCACACGTTCTGCGGTGTGTGCGGCGTGCAGAGCTTCTACACGCCGCGCTCGAACCCGGACGGACGCGGCATCGCGCCACACTGCCTCGACCCGGGAACCGTCGTCGCCGTCACGTGGGAGCTGTTCGACGGCCGACGCTGGGAGCAGGCGATGCGGGAGAGACCCGAACTACGCGAGAGGTCGCGAGACGGCCCAAAGGTCGAGGAAAGGTCGGCGGGCGGCCTGAAGGTCGAGGAAAGGTCGGAGGGAGGCCCGGAGGTCGAGGAAAGGTCGGAGGGATGTCCGGAGGTCGAGGAAAGGTCGACGGGTGGCCCGGAGATCGAGGAAAGGTCGGCAGGCAGCCTGGAGGTCGAGGAAAGGTCGGAGGGAGGCCCGGAGGCCGAGGAAAGGTCGGAGGGTAGCCCAGAGGTCGAGGAAAGTTCAGTGGATGGCCCTGACATTAAAGAAAGGTCGACAGGCGGTTCTGAAGTCTGAGATTGATCGATCGATGGGTGGGCAGGCTGGACGACCAGACATGAACAACTAGTCGGTGAGAGGGCATGACGCATGACTGAGAGAGATGCTTGGCACGTGCTGCTACCTAGGCAGACGGAGATCAAGACTACACAGTGGGTTACGCAGGGGAATGCTCTATGGGGACTGTGGCACGATATGATATTTATTCATGACAAGTGTATCCCGTCATCGCGCATTATCACGCAACACGACATCGAAATCTAACCCATAGACCTTAATGCACATGTTCTATAAAAAGACATGTATTCCAATTTTTGTCTTCCAATTTTTCAAAGTTTTGTCACCATTTGACAATGTTAGGAGATTCGTGGGGATGGTTTACTCACAATAAACATTTACTGTAGGAGATTAACGTATTTATTAGTCACTATCTTGCCTACTTTGATTGACATTCAGAGGTATGTTTACGTTTAATTATACGATGGTACAAAATTGTGACATAGCAATATAGATACATCCTAAGTTAATGCTTCTTTTCCATCGTCATAGATCGAACTTCATATATAGTAACTCATGCACTTGCACGCACGCACGCACACACACACACACATGTTCACGTAGTATATAAACTTACACGCATACAATCTCTCACAAACATAAGCTCTGTCACACGTGAACACGCATGGCTAGGCCCTCTATATTAACACACACACATACACATATATACATAAAGACTTACTCATGATGTGTCCAGCTTTCTGTATCACAGAGTATCCAACGAGTGTTATCACAGCTATCTGACATAGTTCTGGGTGACTATACACATGCGGTTGCGACAACTCCAAATAGTCGGGAACCTAAAAAAAATCACTTTTTTCATGCGTGCAGCATTTAATATTTACCTTAATGTGGGTCGAGCATGCAATGCAATTTAATTTTAATAGTTGGTTTCAAAATTAGAACCCATTTAACACTGAGATAACGTTTAACAGTATAATAGTGTTTGATTAAATAACGCGATATTGTAATTTACTTTGAATTAATTAAAGAGATTGTGTATACACATATATACATATATACATATATACCGCTGTGGTACACAGTTCTTACTCGTATGTTTCAATATTGTCTTTATACTAGCACGACACACTCCAAGCAATAGAACACTCGAAAACAGGAGCAATCACGCGCATTTCTAAATAAAGGACCGGTAGTTATAGTTTAACAATACACTGTAAAAAACTAGACTAAGCTAACCAAACAGTAGCTCTACCTATGTAGTTCTTCACTGCGCGTCATGTTAGCACTAGATAGGGCTATGGGTCTACATGATTAAGAGCTAACCAAACACTGGGAGGGAAAATAGGGTGTCAGCCGGCTGGGCAGCCAGGGTGCGTACTTTGAAGAAGTGTCCACCGAGGGTCTGTACGGTAGAAGTGGCGTATTGCACAAGGTGCAGGCACTGACGCGTCGTCACCGGCTCAGACTGTGCCATCCTCATGTCATCTGTAATGGCAAGAAACGGCAGTGAAGCTTGGCGACAGTCTATTGATAGGTAGAACATAGATATCATATAGTACCTAATGTATGTATGGTATTATGATACTATAATATATAACATTGTGTATTATGGAACATCTATTCTTTGAAACAACGAACAATACTGCCTAAAGTCGACATTAGTCTATAAGAACGGCAACATCTTAGTCCTCTTAGAGAAGAAAAATCAAGTATGGCCATACGAAACATCAGTTGTTCCTAGCTGCTGCTAAGTTAGTTAAGTTAAAGTTTCTCTCCATGAATCACTCCTCCTACCACACTTCGACTGTTGTACACATGCCTTCACACGCACGCACGACAAATCTAAAATTCTAACCACGACAATAAACATGAAGATTTATGACATAGTAGTTGTCAGCCCTTGGTGACACTGCGTGCATAACATCGCGAAACTCGCGAGCACTGTCACAGAAACGAAAACGCGTCGTAACCGCCGAATCCCCATGCACGACGCCGATCCAGAAAGACAAACGACGAAAGAACAAACAGGAAAGAAGCGGAGGAAAGCGGGGGATGCAACGTGACTTACTGAGAGCGGCTGTGATCGCAAGGTTACACATGCAGATCTGCGCGAGCGGGTGCATGTGAAACACGGCATTCTCCTTGTAGAGTACGAGCGCGAGACAGGGTAGAGTGTTCAGCGTGCCCGACATCGGCTCGTGGTAGGTCTGCGGCACGAACCAACGACAGTCCGACTTCTGCACACCTGTGTAATGAGAAACGACATGTGTATGAGGAATCAATTACGTATCATGCGAATAGAAGCTACATTATAAGCATTGGGCATGCAGTCACGACATGCGGTCTTCGAATTAAGCCGGGCGTCCGACGCCCGAGACGTGTAGAAATCTCGGCGGGCATGTAAACATTGCAAGCTCACCTGCCCGACGGGCTTCTGCTTTAAAAATGCATTTCTAAAATATCATGAAACTGGCCATTAACTAAAGGTTAAATATGCTCAAAAATTAACTAAATTTTCCTGCAAAATATATGGGCAACTAGAATGTCATTCGGGCATGTACATTTCACAGAATACTTGCCCGAAGGGCAATTAAGTGGTTTAAAATGTTTTTCGTGAAGACAGTGACATGGGCGAAACAAAAATTATATACTATTACTCCCTAGAAACAAGGTGTTAGCTTGCATGTGCGTGCGTGTGATATATGTAATTGCGCGTGCATTTATGTGCATACATTTCACACAGTGTAGGTTGTGGATAAGTAAGTCAGTTACATGTGCGTGAGTTGGACTGAAATTAATCTGTAAATTTTGCTGCTGATATACTTGACTTACTGTCTACTGAGAAAAGACTGAACATTACTATTTATCTAAACTTTTTATAAGCAACGTTTGCGGATAATTAGGCGTCATCGAATTTCGGCCAAATTACGTGAAAATAATGAAGCACCCGCCACGCTACTAACCTTACTCTAACAGAATACTACTAGTATTGTAGAAGCAATTCTCGCGCATCTATGCTAAGTTCACTCAGTCGCCGAGAGATCAAACAGCAAAATCAATTATGTGCCAACGCAAATTACACAGTGATTACCCCCCTCCCCCCACATAACAGCCGCCATTTGTATATTTTATTTACCGATCGACGAAATTAGCGCAACATTACGAGGTAAAGTGACCAAGCGAACGGTAGTTAGCGGTTTTACCGGTGCAAGACAAAGCGAATCCATCGCTCCACCACCTGAATACGGCTGCCCAACACCGTGACGCGCGCGCGCGGGTCGCTTGGTGCGCGGGGGGAAGCAGAACATCCAGTGACAACCCGCACGCCGCGATTAATTGTGTTTGCGGAGAAATTACGCCAAAACCCACGCGCCCCGAGCGCCGCCGCAGGCGATGTGTGTCAGCGGGCCGGTGAGGTCACCTCTCCCTCCCCCCACGCACGCACCCCCTCCCCCCATCCCCCGCGGGGGAGGGACGTCGGAAGCGGGGCGTGGGGAGCCGAAAAAAAGGAAAGTGACGGCTCGGCGACGATCGCCGTGCGGTCACGTGACGCGCGCCGACGGCGGCGTGGCGGAGTCGTTAAACGGCAGGCGATTAGAGGGAGGGTCACCGACACGTGCTGCGCACCTATATAAACGCCGCCGCTCGCTCATCAGCATCGTCAGTGTCATCGGCAGCAGCAGTTGCAGCAGCATCCGACGCCACCAGCATTTCAGCAGCGCACCGAGAGACAGCATGAATCAGTTAACGGTTATCAGCCTCGTCCTCTCCGCTTTCGTAAGTACGCGCAGCCGCTCGTCATCGTAACAGAAACCCATTGTAAACGCACGCACGCAGGCACGCGCACAGAGGTACGTGCTGTGTGACAGTATTTATGCGCACAAAATCATTGTGGGGTAGAGCTGACAGAAGGACGAACTGAATCTAGAGCTGCTAGGCAATTGTTTGCGTAGTCGCGCGTGCGCGTGCGTGCGTGCGTGCGTGAGTGCGTGTGTGTGATGTCGGGTTGAAATGAAACAGCGTTCTACTTGGTGCAACGTGTTGCGTGTGCATAAATATCAGCACGCAACGGATTGCTGCACGTATACGCTGGCCACGTTTCAACCTTCCAGCGCATGCTGACGGGGCGTGTGAGCCGCCGCAACACGTCATGTTCTGGCTGCACCCGCACAACGCTCACCACACGCTCAAGCCCGCCGCACACGCTGTGGAACGCACTGTGCCATCGTCCACGTGTGGGACGATGGCGCAGCGCGTTCCACAGCGTGTGCGGCGGGCTTTAGAGAGGTTGCCTCATGCGCACTTGACTTTAGCGTCGTGACTTTAGTAGACCACTCCACGTGCAAAACTCGCGTATATACCTGCGATTCTAAATTCGCGACATACTCGTTTCCGACGACGTGCTCTTGATTTAACGCCGCGATGTAGTCGCTCCTCGAGCGAAAACCGATACAAACGCAATTATTTACGCAAATTATATCGACCTGCGCGCTCGACTCATTGCCACGCATATCTGTACACGCTTTCAGGTGGCGGCCGCGTGGGCTGGCGGAGGATACGGGTACGGCCGCGGCCGCAGCAGCCACGGAGGCCAAGAGGGAGGTGCATCGGACTGGGCTGGCTACGGGGTACGTACGGCGCTCCTCTCTAGATTCCTAGTCAGGCTCGATTATCATCGACACGATATTGAATTCAACTGACCTATCCGTCTGGGCGAGATAACCAGCCTGCCCCTTACAAGTTGCTAGGTTGATCAAGCTAAGATCAGTTTACAGGTGTAGCACGAATACACGTCAAATTTCCAACTGGTATTTTGTTGCTAGGCATTCTTTTAGCAAGTCTATCACTACAACGATGTACTATAACTGTGTTAATCACGCGTTATTGACGTGGATAGGTAAATTGAATTCGGAAATTCAAATGAGAATATATCAACTATCATTATCGTCAAAATGTCAATATATCATATTCAACACAATACGTAAATACAAAAAACGAAACACTATTTCGACGTCTTTCGTTAAACCGAGCTTGGAACGCGGGCACGAGACTCACGGTGACTGCTGTGTTTGCTGTGTGAAACAGGATGGCAACGACTACTACAAGTACGATCACAACCAGAAGCACAATAGCTACGGCGACAAGGCCGATTGGGGAGGCGCTGGTTCCATCTACTTGAAGGGAAAGGAGTCTAAGAACTGGGGAAAGGGAAAGTTCTACTTCAGCAAGGGAGATGGTAAGAGTTTTGACACTAGTACATCTAGAATTTCTTATACTGTGTGTATATATAAATTAAATAAATACATAAATAAATAAATATATATATATATATATATACACACACACATATATATATGCGTACATGTTTGTTCGTATCTTAACGATGAACTGCGATTCCGTTGACGGACCCCGTCGCTGCGGCAACCTGCTAATGTGCCATCCTCTCTCGCACTCTGTGCTCCAGGTAAGTACAACTACGACAACTGGCACGCGGACAAGGGTGGCAACAAGAAGTACAAGGACAACGGCCACAAGGCCAAGTACAACTCACAGGGTTGGTTCAAGGGCTACGGCGACTACAAGAGCTACAACAAGTACGGCAGCAACCACTACAACAAGTACACCCACTAGTTGGCTCCATCGCCGACCGCCCGGGCAACGTGGTGTATGATGCTCGTATAGGGAAGTCGATTCCTACCCGTGGTCGTAATAGTGGTTACGCGTGAGTGTGTTGTATTACACCCTTTGCTAGCGTCTATTTAAATACAGGTTACAAAGAACATAACACTATCATACACGTATCCAGTTATCTCTTTAATTGTACTGCCTTAACTATGTATAAGCCCATAGCCGGGAAAACGCGTACAGTGGATGTGCGCGAGTAACATCACAACTTACGAGGTTATTGCTGTATCGTAGCCGGCACTAACCAATCTCGTATATCTTACAATGTCTCTCTTTGAGTCTCTCTCCGATCTCTCTCTCTAGTCGAACACGCGGTTATATACCCACATTTGTAGACACGCTATTGTTTGTGGTCAACCGTTCTACGTTACTGTCTGTAATTGGCTACTTCTACCACTGTCTAGTCCAGCGTTATAACTTTACACCGCTGGCCAAAATAGAACAATAGCTTATTCATGTATATTTACTTCTCTGTCTTTCGACGGTATTACACTCGCTGTCGCTACAACCAGGCGACGATGACAAGGGAGGAGAGAAGGGAGGCTAGCAGGGCCGTATCACGCCATGCTGCTGACGATTGCAATATGTTTGATTTCCCAGTTTACTTCTGTTGTTGTTGTTGAATTTTTTTATTATTGATTAGCTAACGAGTTGCCAGACTGCTTGTCGACCTACGGGTTTGTTATTTTATTAAACGCAGAAATAAACTATTACTGTTTTCAAAATTACAATGTGGCTGTTTTATATCGACTTCATCAGGTTCTCCATGTGTTGTGAAATCAATTGTGTTCCCCGACTGGTTTTAATGCTTACAGCAGTGAAACAGCTCCACATATACATCAGTAATGTGCTATGAAATTAATAAACAGCAATTATAAATGATAAAAAATCATAAATAATAAAAATTATATTAATTTATTAAATGTATTATAATAATAATAATATGATAATAATGATAATAACAAAGAAATATTAATTAATTAATAATAATATCAAATACTCATTAACGTGACCATCATTGCGTAAGCACCATAACTATCACCACCAACACCATAAATCATGAACGACAACATAAATCGTCATTATCATCATCATCATTATTATTATCATTACTATTACGCAGTGGCTACGCGTTCGGTCATCCATTACAAAGCTCAGCACAGATTCCCAAATCTACGTCACGATTAGGCCATGCCCCCTTTCAAATCGTTGATTTTACTGGATTTACTATTGCTTCAAAAGTTAGAAATACACTTTTTTTTGATAAAATACCTAAAGGTAAGTATTATTATGGTAAAAACTTATTGTTTATTGTTTTTGACTGAAAAAAATATAGTTGGGTTCACATAAGAAATATCTGACCGGACGCGTAGCTTGGGAGCTGGGAGTCCGGGTAAACCGGACGCGTAGCCACGGCCTTACTATTATGCAACAAGATGACGACCTACCTAATGCACTCAGCCTCTTCCCGGACAGGTGACCGCGCGCGAATCCCAGCCAGCTGGAAGCCAGACTCCGAGCAGTGTGCCAGCAGGTTGCCATAGCAAACTCGGCAAGATGGATGCGGCGACGATCACAGACGAGCGCTCTGCGTTGTCGCATCAATAGAAACCGTCCATGCGTATTCTGCATCAAAATAGACAAACACCGACTTAAAACTCAATCACTAAATAATACAGCATTTTAATTCATATATATGGTTACGCGTGCGTATTCCACAAGTTCCGATATTGTATCACAATTTACCAATTAAATATTTTTAAATTTTTTAAATATATTATAATTAATATTAAATATTAAAAATACAGATAACATCCTTAAAAAAATCAAATACACACGACATCAGAAAAAAAGCAATAAGAAATAACATGAAATCAGAAAAGTAACGTCAAAAAATGCAAAAAAAACAAACAACCCCGAGAATCATAAAAATAAAGAGGAAAATAAAATGCACATGCAGCCCCAGAAATGAAGCCACACAACGACGCTGAAATGCTACGGAAGCGCGCAGAGAGCTCCCGGACGAATCCACCCACCTTTACTGCGGCGCTCCCGACGCGCTTGTCGCCTGGAAGCTGCCGCTGTGTGGCACTCGGCCGCCGAACCATCGCGCGAGCTGAGCGGCGCACGGCCGCGCTGAGCGGCGGGTAGAAGACGATGGAGGTCGTTCGCCGGTGCGGCCCGCGTACGATGCGGAGATTGAGCGAACAGGTGATCCGTGCGCTTGGAAGGCGCGGGTCGAGCGGCGCGAGCAGACGGCAGTAACGCATCTTGGCGCGCCGCACCTCGCGCCGCCACCCGCCAGTCACGAAAGCTGCCGCGGCACAAACGTAAACACGTTATGGAACGTATTCACCCGGAGGCATTGTAATTTGCATATTGTGCGAATATTCAGGGGTTAATTAATGACGAGAATAATGACAAATAATGGCAATATTGCATTTACTTTATATTTAATAATTAATAATTATATATCATATATATAATTATAATACTTAATATAATATATATATATATATACGTATAATTATTTATTTATTTATAATATATTATATTATATATTACTGTAAGTTATTATTATGCAGGTGGTGCGATCTTAGAGCTAATCAAAACTGGATCTAGTTATGTCGCCAAATATATCACAAAGCTCCAATAGCATTACACTGTGCAAGAAAATCTGATTTAAAGCCACTATCACTCATGCACCCTCACTGTAATGTCGCCTGGCATGTTGCAATACATATGTTGCGTGTGTGCGTGCGTGCATATGTACGTGTGACGTATTGTGTAAAACATGTATGTGAACTCACCCTGTCGTTGACGAACGCCGGCAGTCCTTCGCTCGCAGCCAGCACCGGACACGCATAGACGAGCCGTTAGAGCCAGCAAACGTCGCATCACTGATCGTAGGAGGTTCGAAAAGCAGTGATGTACGGCCTAGTAGTCCGTGTACATCTGTGAGGAACAAAGCAGAGGCGTCCACATCACAACACACATGTCAGCACACGCAACGGGCCAGCCGCCACGCAGCGCAACACGCCAACGACACGCACACGCCACAACGCACACGGCGGGCAAACACGCACCTACGCACACGCATAGCACCGCACACAGCACACGCCAAGCCGCCACCAACACCGCACGAACGACTACACACAGGTAAACACCTTATAGAGGCAGAGTGTATAGCATAGATCCGTGAGGAACAAACACATATGACACACATCACACGCATCAAACGTCACACACACACACACGTCACTTAGTAAAAGCAGTCAGGTACAGTGTAAGCAGTACTACACGCCTCTGTGAGGAAACGAGCACAGGGGTCCCAGCGACGGGACCATCGCCTAGTTACCATCAACTAAAGAATCACTTAGAAACCAGAGGACGCGGCGTCAAGATGGTTGCGCAAAAGAATGCGTTGGTCCCCGACCCGCAGAGCGGTGTAGAAGCCGCGCACTTCCGCGTGTACTGGGCCGCACGCGACCGCGTGTGTTGTATCGTAGGATTTCGCTGCTGCCCCGCATCGAATTGCGCGCGGACGGCACGAAGGAGGCGGCGCACGAATCCGTATAGGCGGGAAGCGTAGACATCGGCGCAGTTTTCGTCACACCTACGACCGGCCTCGCTACGCGGGCATTTGCTGCTGCTGTCTTGCGTCGAGAGAGGTCTATGTCCCCCGGGGTACTGCGGACGTACCCTGGACTCCGTTAACCGGAACGTACCCTGGCCACTATTAAGTATGCCGGACCGTACCTCGCATTACTCCACTAAACGAGTCTAGGGAGTCGCCTAACCCTACTCCCAACCGACCCGAACCCTAACCTAATCTTAACCCTAACGCCTAATCCTAACGCCTTAACGATATTCAATAGTGACCAGCGTACGTTCGTCGTATACCGACCGTTACCCAGGGTACGTTCCGGCGAGTACCTCTGGAATAGACCTTAATGAGCGGCTTGCTTGACTTGTTGCACGCTGCCGGGCAGGGCGGTATGTTTGCTGCGCGGCTGCTTTGCCAGCCAGTATCTACAGATTGCTACGTTAAAAAACGGCGCCCGCACCACCGTGCCGCAGTATGTCTCATTCGCCCCAGCGAAAGTTTTGTTTCCCAAACGTGTATAACATAGCAAAGACATATACGCTCTTCTGATGGTTGCTCGATTTTCTTTGCCTTGACAAGAGATATCGAACGCCCATTTGTAAATGTTTGTTTGGGTTTAAGGACCGCTAGGATAAGTACTTTGTTGATGTATTTTCCATGAACAACATCTTTCCTATATATACATATAAGATCAACTATATATTCGCCAATTCTTCCTAGCGAAAGTGTCTTAAAATTTTTCTGCAATCTTAAGTTAATGAGGGTCTGGGCTCTCGTAATATACATACATACGTATGTTACACGCGCACTCATAGTGCGCTCGTCGCAGCGATAACGATAGGTACTACAGTACTCACTAGAGCACGAATGGGTTCGTTGCTGTAAGCAGGTACTATCATGTTATTGTTTACGATGGAGTTTTTAGGGTTATGTATTTTGTTAATATTAGTGTTATGTTAAAGGTTAGGGTTAGGGTAGAGTTTTAGGTTAGGGTAGGTAGTGTTAGGGTAGGGTACACTTCTGTAGTACAAGTCTGTAACACTTTGTGTATACATATATGTACCTCGGTACATACTCTGTAGTACCTGTTACGCCCCAAACGACCCCTCGAGCACTACTCAGAGGGCTACGACGGTACTATATAGTACTAGGCTATTACGACAGTACATAAGCTATACGTACTCGTACTGCGTTGACCAGTAGTATATTACTAGTACGGTAAAGTAGCGTAGTGTAGCCTAGTGTTTAACGCCTGAGGTCAGCTGAAAACGTAAATAAACTAAATCGGACCACGCAACGAACATAACAGAAATTCGAGCGAGCTATAAGTTAACTATAAATATAAGGCATAGAACCCTCTCATAAATTAAGATTAAGATGAAAATAAACATTTGGCACAAAGAATTGCAAATTATACAGTAATATATATGTTATAATAATGGAGTAAATATGTGTGTTTTCATGGAAAAGTACATCAGAAAATTATACTTATCTCGAGGTCATAAACCAAAACCAAATTTACAAACGGCGTTTGTTTCTCTGTTCTTGAAAGGAGTTTTTACTTCAAGTACAAAGCAAATCAGTCAAGAACGGCAGAATTTGGCGTAAATTCACTGCAATACCCATGTTTGTTTTAAAGAAAACATACTAAAAACACTTTAACACTCAACTTAGCAGAAAAGTTCGGAAAGTTTTTGGTAGATAATTGGGGGAATTTTGGCTACAAGTCATTGAGCTGACATCTTGCCAAAAACTCCAAGCAATCAAAAGGCGCCTAAATCCTTCCGTTTGGGCGAAAAACTATTTCGGGCCGCCGCCACGCCAGCGTAGGTGGTTCGCACGACGTGCCGTGCCAACGGGCAGCGGCTTGCTGAAAACATGGCACGTACGCAGCCAGGGCGCCGTAACGGCGGCATCGCATTTTCAGATTAGCAATGTAGGGCCGCCCCCCGCCCACGTGGGGGCGCGCGGTACGACACTTCGTAAAAAAGCCTATGTGATAGACAAAACTCTAGATACTGCGGATCGGGCAGGTAGTGCAGTCATGCGCGTAGCGGCCACGAGCAGAGCGCGTACATCGCTGATTGACAGCAATTTCTTGAGGTTTCTTGTAGGAGTCACTTAGCGTCTTAGCCATGAGCCGCCACCCCCCGCCAAAAAAGTTTAGGGGCCGTTGGAGATCGGCCTACTGCTGTCCATCGGCGAAATGTCGTCTGGATTTGCGCCCAGTTTTCCATGTAGTGCGTTTTCAGACCCACTGTCTCAGATATCTGTCTAAAGGGAACAAAGGGGCGGCGTAATCGCGTTGGGGCGCCGGCTCGCCGCGAGAATGTGGCGCATGCGCGCAAAAAACCGGGGCCGCAAGTCCCGTCTAGACAGAACAGAGTCCTGATGCAAGAAATACACACGTTAGCATGGCTAGCGAACTCAATATCACCATCACACAATAGGGGTATGCAAGTCCTGTGTGGCGGGTGATGCGTGCATATATGTATGTGTGTGGCTGTGCGTTCAGCGGTATATACGTAAGCTTACCTTTGGCGCTAATAGACGACCGCATTGTCGGTGTCGGCGTGTGGCGGCGCGACGTGTGCGGGGAGCAGCCCTGAACGTCGACCGTCTGCCAGAAGAAGCCAGGCTCAGCGCCAAACACGCGCCTCACCGCGTGCGGATCTGCGTTCACCTGCGTGCGTGCAACAAGAGCGTGCGTTAGTTACGCAACACCAGCCTTATGTTGCCCGTCCATCACTGCCTCCTCACACATACAGACACTCATGTAACACGCGCCGTACCGAGTGTGAGTCCACCTCGTATATACAAGCACGGTTGGTCTCGGTGCATAAACGCACTCTGCTGTTTACCTCCCTCTTCACTGCCACCCACCTCCAACTCACACTCCACTCCCCGCCACCCACACTCTACTGCCCCCGCCACCCACGCCCACTCCCGCCCAACCGCAGCCTCACCTCCCCCGCCACCAATTCTCACTCGCCCCTGCCACCCACTCCAACGTCCTGCACTCACGGCTCCACTCCCCGCTGCCACTCACCTCCACCCCCCTGGTACCCACCTCCACTCCCCCTCTCACTGCCAACTCCACCTCCACTCCCCCGCCACCCACCCTCCACTCCCCTGCCACTCACACGTCCACTCCTCCTGCTTCACACCTCCACTCCCACCCTCCTCACTGCACTCACACTCCACTCCCCCTGCCACTCACCTCCACGTCCCCCTGCACCCACTGCGCTCCACTCCCCCCTCCATCATTGCCACCCCAACCTCTACTCCCCTCCATCACGCTCCACTCCCCCCTGCTACCCACCTCCCACCCCGCCCTCTCATTGCCACTCACCTCACCCGCCTGCATCACACTCCACTCCCCCTGCCACTCACTCCACTCCCCTGCTACACGCTCCATCCCCCTGCCACCCACACTCCACTCCCCCGCTACCACCCCACTCCACCGCTCCTCACTGCCACCACCTCACTCCCTGCTACCCACCTCCACTCCCCCCTCCTCACTGCCACTCGCCTCCACTCCCCCCGCCACCACCTCCACGTGCCCCTGCCACATACCTTCACCCCCCCACCTCCACTCCCCTTTGCCCCCCCCTCCACTCCACATCCCCTGGCCACCCACCTCCACCCCCTGCCCCCACCATCCACTCCCCCTCCCCCCCGCACCCCGCCCCACCTCCACTCCCACCACAGTCCCCTCCACTCTCTGCCACCCCACCTCCACTCCCCCTCACTCCCACCTAACCCCCCCCCCCCCCGCCCGAGACGCCGCGTACCTGGATGAAGGTGGACAGAGGTTTCGAGGACACGGTGGGGTTGTCGCCCGCGTAGCAGTACTCGTCCTCGTCGTCGCCATCGCGACTTCATCGCGGCAGCGCGACTCGCGTCCACGGCGCCCGCGCTGTGCAGCGTGTTCGCCGACAGAAACTTGGCGATGGCGTGCTGGAACGGCGTCCGCATCTCGTCGCGCTGCGGGGACGAGACAGCGAGGCGGTTACCGTGGCGACCGACGGCAAAGCGGTTTACGAGGTACGACGGCGGGAACCGACACGGAAGCAGTTACTGTGGCGACCGACGGTAAAGCGGTTTACGAGGTACGACAACGGGAACCGACACGGAGGCGGTTACCGTGGTAACTGACGGCAAAGCGGCTACGAGCTACGACGGCGGTAACTAGCAAGAAGATGGTTACCGTGGCAACCGACAGTGAAGCGACTACAAAGCCAGGAACGTGGTAATTAAGGCATTCACAACATGCTCAAATTTTCACCAGGAATTCGCGCTGATCGTAAAAATTATCCCGGCAAAAATATATTAATTATAAAAAAATTAGATATAAAAAATCGAAAATCCGGCAATTGGTGGAGAATTCTCGCCCGCCTAACAAGAAGCCTGTTGACTTCAGACGACCGTAAACAAACATCGAATCGCCGCCGGCACCGCCGAGACGCAGCGCTACGCACCTTGTTGCGTCGGTGCTTCACCGGCGACACCTGGTAGCGGGCGTCGGGCACGGCGGCGATCGCGAGCTGCAGCTGACCGTTCATCCACAGCTGCTGCAGACCGATGACGCTGAACGGACACGCGGGCTCATCTGCCGCGTCCGCCGCGCCGCCGGGCGCTGGCACCAGGTGGAGCAGCCACGAGAGCAGGATCGGGAACGTGTACGTCAAACCTGCAGGCGAGGAATCGCACGGCATCATCGCAGGGCAGACGAGCACGAGCACTCGTTATAATTAGTCGCGAACACGTAAGAACGGACCGGCGATCTGCGATGCAACGCGGCTCGAGAATTTTCATCGATATCATCATGCAGGAGTCTTAAAGAGTTATTTGTAAAGAGCAATCGAAACAATGAAATTCTCATTAGTGAGTAGTATTAGCATATTGGTTGTCTCTGCCTGTCAGTATTGCTGACCTGCATCTTTCCTCGGGCACTCACAAACACGGTCAAAATTAATTCAGCGATTCAAAAATCGTGACTGAGAGTGTCGATTCGGGTTACGAAGTTGATCGGTCACCTGTGTCGATGGGCTTGCAGGTGCGATGTTCCGTGATCTGACCGCTGCTGGACATCAGCACGCTGACCAGCACCGTGTCAGGTGGCAGCACCTCCGGCAGCGGCCGCACGGCCGGTCGGTACGACTCCTCCTGTGTGAAGTCATGCAAAACACAAAACTAAGAACGGCACACGCACTGAACGCTTACACGCCCCAACGATCACGAGCTAGTAGTGTGTATACAAACGTCCAGGATTTGATTGCTAATGTTTTTGGAGCATTGCTTTAAGTAGGATATACGAGTGTGTTAGATAGGGTAGTTAGCAGGCACAGCCAATCTGTAACATACTTCTACAGAGCCAGAGAAAAACGAAATTCACTGACACCCTCACCCATCAAACCCTCACACACCTGTGCGCCTAATAGTAATAAGTGGTAATGTGCAGGCAAGGATGAAGGATTTTAATAAATTATAGCCTCAAGTAATACATGTGTGTGCGTGTGTGCGTGTGTTAGATATGGTAGTGTGGAGGGAAGAATGCAGGATTTGTAATCTCGGTGTAAATCAGTAATGAAAGTGTCAATGACACTGTAGCTCAATTTGGGTGTGATAGAAGAGGGAGGGGGAATATATAAATCAAGAGTATATGTGGGAGAACTCCCATTATATAGCATATCTCCCATTATATACTCTTGATAATGATATATGTATATATATATACAT